ATAATTAATATAAACGCATAATGTGCATATTGATAATTAACAAGAAGATTTTTTCGTGCATCTGAATACAATGGTAACTGTCAAAAAGAACGCCACAAAGCAAAGTCAAGTGACATGTCGACTATTGTTCTCATCACATTTTGACGTCTGCTGTGTATCTGTCAGAGTAACGACCAACGGGGGAAATGGAAGCTATTTTTTATGTAATATTTTCCGTTAATTTTATCCGAGCGCGTGTAATTCTATTGGAAGGGTTGAATGTCTTGAATTGGCTCTGACAAATCACATCACTCTCAGATTTAATGGTGACGTTCGTGTGTATGTAGTTCCTTAAGACGGTTCTAGATCGCGTCGACTAATCCAAGAGCGTGTAATACATCAAATATTATATAAAGGGCTATATCAATTTGTTAAAAACACTGTATGTTTTTTAGAATTATGTAAAAACCGATTGTAAAATGCAATGCAGCTTGTAGTCTTATAGTGGATTAGCGTTTATAGTCCGACCATAAGAACTGTAGGGTTCCAACTAGCGGGTTACTCCCAGTTCAAGAAATCGGAGTACGGTAACTAAGTTTCTCGTTTATAAAATTACAAAACGATTTTTACTTTGAGCTTGTCATAGTAAGTTATGCATAACTGGAAAAGCTATTTATTACGCCACGTTACTGCTAAGAACTTCCCGCGATTTCCAGTTAATGCACTTCGTAGAAAGTACCACCATGATTTGATACTGGATGGGTCATGGTGATTGATGATATAATGCACTTTGTAGAAAGTACCACCATGATTTGGATTAGTACGTGCACACATATTTTAATTGCATTTTAATTGCCATTTTGGATGAACATCTTTCTCTTCCCTTATGTTCATCCATCCAGCTCGGTAACGATAGCTTTGTTTTAGCATTGACTTTACATGACAAACTCGAACAAAAAAGACACATACAAACAACTTTTCTCGACTTTTAGCGACGTTTTCCACTTTTCGTGAAAAATTAAATTAGACCGCAAGGTCGAGTGGACTTGACTTTGATAATTCGTAACTGACCGAGAAATTGTTTAGTACCCACAAAACTATAGGGAATGATTAAAAAAACATGCTGGATTTTTAATATCAATCATTTATTTCTCGTGAGATTCTTGGATTTCCAATGCAAAACTTCAAATCAAATATGATGTTTTACTATTAAAATATTTAATACATCACATGCGATATGAAAAAATTCGGCCGATGTGTCATACATAACAATATATATACCTA